TTCAGAGCAAAGGGAAGTAGACTAACAGGAAATACTGTAGTAAAATCCAAGGAATAGAATTCAATCTAAAAATAATCAGAAGAAAGCATGTCAGTCCACACTGATCAAGAGATCAATCTATCAAGAAGACATTGTAATTCTACACATATTTGCAACAAACATGGATACACACAGCTTCATAAAGCAAATTCTTCTTTATGTAAAGCAGTAGATTAACCCCAATGGTAGGTGACTTTAGTATCTCAGTTTCACCAAAGGGCAGATTTTCCAGATGAACAATAAGCATAGAAATAATAGAGTAAATGACACACAAAAGAACTAGAAGTAGATGTACCATATGCTTCTATTACAGCACTCCTGGACATGTATACCCAAAGGACTCTGTGGGATCACAGATACTTGTTAATCCATGTTCATTGCTGTTCTAGTCATAGTAGCCAGGAAATGGAAAGAGCTTAGCTGTCCATCAACTGATGATGGAGAATTAAAAATCTGGTGCACACATACAGTGGAATTTTATTCATGTGAAATTTTTTATTTATATGAAATTATGGAACTTCAGGAAAATGGAGGTAGCTGGAAATAATAATCCTGAATGAGATAACCCAGACCCAGAATGGCAAGTGCTAAATGTCCTCTCTCAGGCCCTGAAAGGCTTCTGTGTTCCAGTAGATGGTCCTACACTCAGGCACGTTCTGGTAACACTAAGGGGACTCCATGGGTTTAATAAAAATTAAAATACACAAAGGGCACAGGAAGTTGGGAGGGACAAGTGATGGGGATGGGATAAGCAAGGAGTTGGAAGTGAGTTAATGAGGTGTGTGGGTTTGACCAGAATACATTATACATACAAATATACATACATACATATATATGAAATTCTCAAACATTAAACAATATTTAAGAAAAAGAAATTGCACATTAAAAAGGAAAACAATTTAAATTCAAAGGAATTCCAGCTTAGAACTACATCTCCTTCAAAATGTGCACCAAAATCAAGTTAAAGATGTCTTTAGGTATCCAAGTTCTCAGGCATGTACCACTCAGCTCCTCAGAAGATAACCAGTAACAGGACAGAAAAGACAGAAGACATCACACTGCCTGATAGAGACAAGATCTGGGATGAGGAGAAACAGTCTCACCCAATAGCTGACAGAGAGTATGCACCTACACAGAAACCCAGATGTGAATATGTGGGTGGAGCAGTAAACACTGAGAGCCAAGTAGGAGAATGAAAACCTCAACTCAGAGGGAGACAGTAAATCAATACCTAGTTTGGAAAAATGAAGATATTGTAATAGGGCCAGCTGTTGAAATTGGATCCTAATTAGTCTTATAATAAAAACCAAGAGTCAGATATAGAGGGTGAAAGCTAGAAAGTCAGAGAAGCAGAGCAGCAGCTAATAGAGATTTCTTACCTCCACAAATCCTCAGGCCAAATGGGACTCATATATTGTTCTCCACACGCCTTATATTCCTGTCTCCATCTTCTTAGTGCTGGGTCTAAAGGTGTGCACCACTATGGAGCTCTATTTCTCTTTCAGACTGGTTCAATCTGGAGTAGCCCAGGGTGGCACTGAACTCTGCATCTTCCTGCTTCCTCCTCCCAAGTGCTGGGATTAAATGTGTGTGCCACCATTGCCTGGCTTTTATCGTTAACTGGCGGCTAGCTCTGCCCTCTGATCTCCAGGCAAGCTTTGTTTGTCAGAACACAAACAAAATATCATACAACAGGTTGTATGGCTCAGTGGTTAATACCAGCCTGGCATTTATGGTGGTCTGGGTTCAGTTGCCAGGCCTCTCCAGGCACACCTCCTCTCAAATCTCAATGTAGGTAAACATTGTCATACAAGGGGGATAAGCAGTAACTGGATATGGGGACCAGGAGGAAGGGAAGTGAGAGACTGTTAGCATTTTCTCATGAGCTTTCTAGGTTTATTTGACTTTTAAATTATAGGCATTTATTGCCTTGATTAAAAGTAAACAAAATTTTTATAAGACAAGGAGCTATAACCCCTTAGGAATGTTTTGTCTCCCCAGGGTGAAGTCAAGGGAGAGTGGCAAAGAGAGAGAACGGATTCTGTGGCTATCCTAAAGGGTTCAGTGGTGGCCTACAAGAAGAAGCAATTGGTCATTGAGAATAACACTTGTGGTGAGCAGATGTGGGGGCCAAGTCGGGGTAGGGTATCCAAAGACCTGAACCTCTTCTTCTCTCCTGACTATAGTCCAGAAGGAACACTTATGACTGTCCCAGGCACATGTCCCACCATCCTTAGCCACGTCTAAGCATGGCCAAGCTCTAATACCATTAGCTGTAGATGTAGCTATAGCCTCTCATGTGGGAAGGGATCCAACTCGGGGTGCTCAAATGGAGGTGTCTGTAGCTGGTTGAAGTCCAGGCCTAATCCCAGGCATCTCTAGTCATCCATCTCTAGCCAGTCAAGGTCCTGCATGGAAGGAGAGAAATGATGTCACGTGTAGAGGGCTTTAGGGGAGCTGACTAGAGCGGGGGAAGTGTGAGAGAGGAGGTGATCATGGGAGAGGATTCTGGGGTGAGGGTTTCTGAAGGTGCAGAGAGTGTTGTCAGGTTAGGCAAAGAGTTTGGTGAACCCAAGGAGTCAAGACAGGTTGGGGCTGTTTACACATGAGAAGGCCAGTTTTCTCTGAAGCTGCTGGCCAGTGATGTGGCAATTATTTCTTTTTGGTCTATTATGAGAACTAAAATTGTACTTGCCAATCAGCACATTGTCCTCCTTGGTGCCTGATTATGTAAACAAGATGCCCTGCTGGCCCCCTACTGCTCAGAATGTTACTTGAAGACACTCTCGGAAGTTTGCTTTTTTGTTTGTTTAGTTCCCGTGTTAAATGCTGTCATTTTTCTCCCCTGGCTCATTTCATGTGTCAAATGCTTGAACTGTATTGTTATACAAGTTTCAGACCTCAGCATATGTCTATGGATATAATACAAAACAATGCAAGATTGCCAGATTGAGAGTGAATAAGGAAGGGCCAGGTACTAACTTAAGGCTAGCAAGAAACCTATGTGACAGGGCAGCAGAAGCCTATCTGCTTTAACTCATGGAATATTTATTTGTTAATTTCTATTTTATGAGTAGGTGTGTTTTGCCTGCATGTAAGGGAACCATGTGCATGCAATGCCTCAAAAGGCCAGAAGTGGGCGCTGCCACGTGGGTGCGGTCCTTTGCACGAGCAGCACTGATCTTGCTCTCCAGCCCTCATGGGGGTAATTCTTGAAGGTCAGAGGGCGTGGTGGTCGCCTAAAGTACTTATTTAAAATGCAAGTTTCAGGCTGGTGAGATGGGTTGGCCGGTAAAGGTGCTTGTTGCCAGGTCTGATGCCTTGAGTTCCACCTCCAGGTCCCACATGTTGGAAGTAGATAACTGACTCCCGGAGTTTTCCTCTGACCTCTGTATGTGCTCTGTGGCATGCATGCACACATTAAAGAAACAAACCAACATAATTCGATAGAATAAAATGCAAGTTTCGGGGCACCAGTCAAAGGATCTGATTCACAGGTCACAGAGGCTAGTGCTTAAGTTGACATCATCCCTGGGATTTGACCTGAGCATCCTAAATGGTGTGTGGGAACTACTATAGCCAGTGTAACTGCATCTCTCCTAACTGAGTTTCTTTTCCATTCAGCCATTCTCCTTTCTGCTAATGCTAAGAAGAAAACCTTTCTAGGTATGCTTCATATGCATCCTAGGTTGAAAAGTGGTTTCGCTGGCTCAGAATGGAGTTGCAAATCATCTGAGGAAATATTTGAGATAGGTATGTCTTTGTTGGACAGGATCTACCTGGGGATGGATTATCACAGGAAATTTCCCATAAGAGTAGAATTCTAAGTTGAAAAACAAGGGTGGATGGAGGCGTTGGAGAGGTCTGAGGTAAGGGGAGGGGTGCAGAGGGTGAGTCTTGGTGAGTGAACCCTTCTCTTTCTCTCTCTAGTGCCGTATTCTGGAGGACATCTAGGTGAGTGAAGTGTTCTGGGGCTGTGAGATTCAGACCTGTTCCCTCATGTTGACAACTGAATAACAAAACCCCACCTGATTTTCTTTGCCCAAGGTCTGGGATCTGGTCTTCTGCACAGGGGTGGGGGTGGATGATGGAGAAATGTCTGGAACACAGGGGAAGTAATACTAATACGAATACTAATTCCTGGGTGGGCCAATGTATTTTCTCTTTCTAGTCAGGAAGATAAATTACATCTCTCCAATTGGTGAGTGTGTGTCTGGTGGGGTTGTTGTGGAGATCTGGGTGATACTTCTGTACTCAGCTCTAGCCCTGGCTCTGGTTCCTGTGGGATGGGAGAGATCATGGAAGGCTGATGTGGAGGAAGCATAGACTGGGAATGGGGCAGGAGGAGATGGCAGTAGAGACACAGTGTGTGTGTCCAGAGCCAAGTGAGCATAAAGAAAGCTTGTGCTTCTCTTTCTAGGAAGGACAGAGGAACCCTTCCATCTAGGTGAGTGATTTGTTTTGTTTGTTCGTTTTAAGGAAATCTGTGCTTCTATCAGAAAAACCACAGGCTTGGAACTCAAATGAGAACTTTCTTTGGAACTCAGAAAACTGAGGTCTACTTTCACATTTTTAGTTAGTTCAACTCACACATGCGCAACTGCATGCACTAATGTTCACTGAGGACTTACTTGAAAGTAGGCATTACTCCAGCATGGACAATGTAAAATAATAGGATGAAAGTGCCCATGTCTTTGGAGCTTTCCCTATGGTATCCTCTCACAATCACAGACCACCTGTAGGACACTTGGCAGAACCAGAATATCTTCCAATGCTGCTGGGCTAATTCTTCATAGATGGTGGAGATACTTATTCCTAAGGGTAGCTCTTATGTGCCAGGTGCTGACAAACACATACTCATTGACTCCTCACCTTGTCCCCATTTATCACACATGGAACCTGATCCTGAAACATGGAGGATTGTCATCTCTGGAGTCTAACAGTACATTTCCTACCTGACATATCCCAGACATGAATCTGTGATCATTTCTCTCCCACTTGTGATCACCAGTTTTCAGAATTTCCATCTCCACTCCCAGTGCTGTGTCCTCTCCTTCCAGAGTGCGGACACTGCCTGCTTTGTAGTTCTTTGTAGCTTCATGGTAATTGCCTCACTGGGGCTCAAGCAGGCTATCAATGGAGACACTTTTGACCACTGGAAATGGTACTGAAGGGGAAGGGCTTACCATCCAGGGATATTTAATTGAAGAATTTCTCTCACTCTCTGATTGGTGTTGCTGTCTGTGATCAGATTTCAATTGCCTACAAGATGAGATTTCCAGGAAAACAGGAGAACTGTCCATGCTTTCAAAGGATGTTCAAGATGTTGTGTTCTCTAGCCTCCTGCCCATGCTCAGTGACAGGAAGATTCTGTATGACCTGATGAACATGGTGAGAATTTCATAGCTGCCTAGAGGTGATCAAACCTGTAAGGGGCAGTTTGGGTGATGGGGGTGCCAAGCTAGATGAGAGAGAAGGGATGTACATGATGCCCAGGAGACTGAGAAAGATGTCAAAGATTGGGGATTCTGGCGCCATGCACAATGATAAGTGTTAAAGAGTGTGGCCCCTGAAATCTGCTCAGGATGCCCTTGGGGGAGGCAGAAACTATAGCCCACCCCTTGCTTAACTCCAGTGGACACAGGAACATTACACAACAATGTTTTTGAGCCAGATATGGGAAGCTGAAACTACTTGTAAGAGGGTTGCAAGTTCAAGGCCTTTCTGGGCTACATATTGAGTTTAAAGCTGGCATGGGCAACAACCTGAGACCCTGTCACACACAAGAGAAAAATGAAGGGAATAGGGAGCCAAGCTGCAGCTTCATGGTAGAGGACTTGTTCAGCATGTATAAAGCCATCCAGTCCCCAGCACTGGGAATGCTGCTATTAAGAGAACACCTCTCTCCTCCAGCTGGAATTGGATCATTTGGGGCAAATGGATGGCCCAGGAGGTGTGATCCTAGATGCTCTGCGACAGGACTCAAGACCCCCATGGATTGACCTAAAGAACCTCATTCTTTATCTCCTTCAAGCCCTAATGGGTAAGAATGATTTGAGGGAAGTGTGGGAGAGTCCTTGTGTTGGTTCTCAGAGGGCTCTTTTAGATCCACCTCCCCAAAACTCTTGAATTATCATGATCATTCTCAGGTCACCATTCTCTATGAGGTAAGTAAGGCTCAGGATGATAACAGCCCATGCACTGCGGATGGAGTCTGAGGTGTAGAAAGTGAGCAGTAACCATTCTCTTCACACATCCTTGGCAGAAGATGATTCCTGCCTCAGCCTCTAGATTGTCAGGCTCTGGGTCATGTCCCTTATGATTCTGGAGCCGTTGAAGGGCAGAAGAGCTTTCCAGGGTTGTGAGCTTGATCTTCAAGTCCAATGGGGCATATTCCTCTGTCCCAGAGTTCTCCTCTCATTGGGTGTCCTAGTTCATATTAAGAGGAAAATATTGAGGCTGTCTTTCTGTTTCCTCACACACTCTTTCCTTCAGTGCTGAGTGATACCCAACTCAGTCTGCTGGTCCAGTCTATGGAGAAGAGGCTCCTCCTCCAGCAACAAGAGCTGGTAAGAAATTCCAAAGCCTAACAATCCAGATAGGGGGAGAGAGGGAAGCAGGAAGAGGAAGAACATTCTATAAGAAAGAAATATAGTTTCCACAAGGAGAGGAGTTGGGAATCCTTCTGGTTGCTTTCTCCTTCTGGGGATCAGGCAGGATGGGTTTGATCCTGTCAGGAGTGTCTCTGTATTTATGGCACCCCCAGAAACATGACCTAGCAGGTCTAAATTAGGCACCTAAGAAGACATCTCTGTTGAAACTAAGGGGATGAATGTCAGTTACACCTTTCTTTGCTTACAGTTATCATTTGCAAATTGCCTTTTCTCTTCCCATATACTTATCTGTGAATACAAAAGTGTGTCCAGCCATATGCATACTTGTGCACACACACACACACACACACACACACACACACACACACACACACACACACAGACACAGACACACACACACACACACACAGACAGACAGGAACACACACACAGATGGCATTCTTGTCCAGCATACATTTTATTATTACCGTGTTGTAGCTGAGGAACCAATGCACAGTGATTCAGGTTTTGCTTAGTTCATTATCTTGTGTGATTCCTTTCTCTTAGGACAGGTTTTTCACCCTGGTGTCAGAGCCTAGTCTACTCAATCTGAGAGTTTTTCTTCTAGGTAAAGAGCATCCTGCAGCCAAACTTCAAGTATCCCTGGAACATCCCCTTCACTCTCCAGCCTCAGCTTCTTGCCCCACTCCAGGGTGAGGACTTGGCCATTACTTACGAATTGCTGAAGGAGTGTGGTCTGAAGATGGAGCTGAATAATCCCAGGTCAACTTGGGATCTGGAAGCCAAGATGCCTCTGTCTGCCCTTTATGGGAGCCTGTCATTTTTGCAGCAACTTGTGGAAGCCTAAATCTTCCTCAAGGCCTGGCCCCAGCTCAGTCCATGCTGAGTCCTGGAGACATTAGAGATGTGACACCATGGCACACACAAGAGTGCTGTTTTCTGTGCCTGTTCTAGGGTGGTGGGAATAAGGATGCTGAGGGTTTTTCTTTTGATTTTACTATTCATTCACCATTTTATAAATAATGTATTTTTTATCATGTTCACCTCCCCCCATTTTCCTTTTTTTCTAATCCATATCACCATGCCCCTTCTCCACAACTTCTCATTCAACTCTTTTTGATTCTCTGTTGCATTTAATTAGGATTGTTTGCACGAGTGTGGGATTATTAACTTGAGTAAGGCTGACTTTCCAGGGGCTACACTGCTGAGGAATGTAACTCCTCTCCCTGCAGCAGCATTAACTGCCAACAGTGTCTTAGGGAGGGCTTACCTTATAGGACGCTCCTCTATCCATGATGGAATGTTGGTGAGCCTGTGCTCACTTGGTCTTGTTTAGGCAGTCATTGCTATTGTGAGTTTAGGGGTGTAATAGTCATGTCCACGAATAAGGATGCTGGTATCTGTCAAAATTCCTCAAATAGTTGGCTAAAGATTTAAAATTTTCCTTTATATGAAATAAAATAACCAATGGCTGAGGGGTCCCCAACTGGATCAGGCCCTCTGAATGGGTGAGACAGTTGATTGGCTTGATCTGTTTGGGGTTATCCAGGCAGTGGGACTGGGTCCTGTGCTCATTGTATGAGTTGGCTGTTTGAAACCTGAGGTTTATGCAGGGTCACTTGGCTCGGCCTGGGAGGAGGGGACTGGACATGCCTGGACTGAGTCTACCAGGTTGATCTCAGTCCACAGGGAAGGCTTTGCCCTGGAGGAGGTGGGAATGGGGGGTGGGCTGGGGGGAAGGTGAGGGGGGGCGGGAGGGGGGAGAACAAGGGAATCCGTGGCTGATATGTAGAACTGAACTGTATTGCAAAATAAAAAAAATAAAATAAATATTACTTTTACTTAATTGTGTGCTTTTTCAATTGTTTTGGGTAAAAGATGCTGGTGCCAGTCATTTTGGAATGGGTCAGAAATAAATTGTGGATATTTTTAGGTAGTTAGTTAATAGTGTGATTACTTAATACTTTTTGCGAGCATCCTTACTCATTTTATTTTCTTCCCAGCTTCTGTATTTTTCTCTCATCCCCTTTCTAATTTGTCCCCTCCCCACTTTCTCCATTTCCTCTGTGGGATCCCTTGTACCCTAATGTTCCCCTCTCTTTTGCCTTCTGCTGCCCTACAGTCAGGAGTTTTCTGAGGCCGTCTCAATGACCATTGCCAGATCAGATTGGCCTGTGACCACTTCAGTGAGAAATTCTCTTGTCTGATGATGGATATGGAAGGGCCCAGCCCCTTGTGGGAGGCACCATCCTTAGGCAGATGCACAGGAAATGTAGTTGAGCGTGGGCGAGTGAGCAAGCCAGTAAGCAGCATTTCTCTATTGTTTCTGCATCCGAGTTCTTGCCTTGAGTGCCTTCCTGACTTCCCTCAAAATAGGCTGTGACCTCGGAGTGTCTAGGTTCCTCTCTAGGTTGCTTCTGGTCCTGGTGTTTATCACAGTAACAGAAAGCTAACTAGCACACTTTGATTACCTCTAGTACCTGAAAGTCAGCAACAGTAGAGACCCTTAACTCTTCTTTTTTAAACTTACATTTAATTTCTTTTTGAGAATTTCATATAAGAGTAATTTATTTGCATCATTTTCACCCTCTCTCCTTGCTGTACTCTGTCTTCAGCACTCGCTGTAAAGTTCATGAACTTTAATTATTGTTGCACACATGCACACATATTTATACATGAATACAGCCTGCTGAGTCCATTTTGTGTTGCTTGTATGTGTATATGCTTAGGGCGGACCACTTGGGATTGGATAACTATCAGGGGTTTGTCCCTGTAGAAGACTGATTGTCCTCTCAGCAGCTATTAATTGCCTATAGTTTTCCATGTATGGTTAGGGCCAAGTGAGACTTTCCCTATCCACACTGCAATGCCAACTTATGTTGTCAGTGTGTAGGTCTTGTTTAGGTGACTCTAATTTTGAGATTTCGTGAGTACAGCTTCCTTCTCATATCTTGAAGACAGACCTCGCAGCAGACTTCCTGATCCTCTGGCTCTTACAATCTTTCCATTCCCTCTTCTACAGGTCCCTGAGCCTTTGGTTTGGGGCTAATTTTAAAGATGCATCAACTGTGGGTGGGTATCCCATAGTCAATTATTTTCTGCATTTTGACCAGTTGCAGATTTCTGTAATTGTCTCTGTCTTAGTCACTATTCTATTTCTGTGAAGAGACAATGTGATCAAGGGAATTTGTATAAAAGAGAGCATTTGATTGAGGCTCGCTTACAGTTTCAGATGGTTAGTCCATTATCATCATGCCAGGAAACATAGTGGCATGCAGCAGGCATGGTGCTAGAGAAATAGCTGAGAGAGTTTTACATCAGAATCCAGGGGCAGCAGGCAAAGAAAGAACCAGACACTGTGCTTGGTGTAGACTTTTGAAACTTCAAAGCCTACCCCCAGCTACACACCTCTTCCAAAATGATACACCTATTCAACATGGCCACATTCTTAATCTTTCCCAGTTAATCTGCTGGAGACTGAGATTGTGAATCTATGAGGCCATAGGGGATGTGCTCATTCAAAACACCACAGTCTGTGAAGGAAAAAGCTTCTTTGAGGAGGAACGAGAGCTACAGTCAATTGTGGGTGAAAGGATAAGTATGTAGAATGTGGTTACAAATCAAACTGGTTTAGGAAAGTGGCAGCAGTAGGTTTTCTTTGGGGTCCATAACCTCATGAGCCATGGGTAGTTGTCTAGGTTTATAGTGCCAGGCCTGAATTCTCTACAACTGAGCAGGCCTTAAGTCCAGTGGAAGGTGGTTAGTTGTTCTGAAGATAGAAATGTCGCTACTCTACCCCTGGGCATATCTTGCCACGATGGTCATAGTTGGAGTTTGTAGGCTTTTCAGCAGGGCAGGACTAATGGTGTTTCCTGCTTTGGTGGCTTGCATAACACCTTCACATACTATGAGAGGAAGTCCTCAAGGAGATAGCTTCCAGGTCAGTCCAGCTCAGTTCCTCCAAGTCCTGTGTCTGGGTGTGTGGTGTCTTCAACAACAGCATCTTATCTTCAAGTTCTGAGAGGGCAAGCAAGGGAGAATCTAAGCCCAATTTCAGTTGGAAGCAGCCAGACTGCCTGGATGTCCCCCTCCCACGGGGTTTTGGAGTCTCAGTTCTTGAGATGATAATGTTAGGTAACTAGATATTAGCAGGCTTGGAGGCCACTGAGAAAGGACCCCGTCCTCATGGATTTTGCTTACTTTCTCTGACACTGTGGGATTTCTTACACATTTTCCTTCTGCCATATGGCTGCCTGCTTGCTTCTATTAATGAATGTGCCTGCTTTCTTGGGCCGTAACTTCAAAGGCATGACTCTCCGCCCTTTTACCCTGTCTAACCTGTCATCTATCACAGATACTAAACTCTTTAATCGAGGACACCACCCAAAGGACATGCTGTCAGTTTCCTTTTCCAAAATTTCTGATACCAGAAACTGTTCTAAGATCTCATGATAAGGATGCTTCTCTAACCCATCAAAAAAACAGATGTGAATAAAACAACTGTGTCTCCATCTCCACCTATCTGAATTGTAACAATTCTCACTCAATTTACAGGGAACCCTTTTCCCAGTTGGGCAAGGATAGCTGCTTGGCTATAAAATTGGAGAGGAGTCTATGTGAGAATTGAGGGATCTGTTCACACATTTCCATCCACTGCAGTTACTTCTGGTCTTGCTACTCCATGGTTAGGAAGCAGCCCAACCCTACCCTAGTCCCTGACCCTCCAATGGTTCTTCATCCATGTCATTTATGTGTCTCCCATCTTTGGAATGTTGACACCTCTTATCTTCTGTTCTATTTCCCTTTCCTTTGGTCTTTACCTATTTGTACTGGATTCATCAACACGACAGTGAGTTCGATGAAAATGTGAAGTAAAGCCCTCTCCCTTCATATGAGAGTGAGGTGGATTTCAGAAACAGTTAAACAGAAGCGGGTGTGATTTTCACTGAGTCCTGTTAATCCCACAGTATTGCATCTACTACTGGATGTCTGTTTTCTTTCTAAGATTTAGGTTGTTTTAGAAAGTGAATAATGTGCATATTGTATTTATGCAAACAACTACATAGAGTTCATAGTTCAGGTCCCCAGTTCTTCAGTGTGTGTGTGTGTTTATGTGAGGGTGTGAGTGTATTTGAAACAGGGTGTCACTATGTAACCCTGGCTGGTCTGGAACTCATCATGTAGACCACATTGGCCTTAAACTCACAGAATTCTTCCTGCCTCTACCTTTGCCTCCAAGTGATGGGACTAAAGGTGTGTGCCACCATACCCAGCAAGTTCTTCAGTATTATGTATGATGTCCTAATGAGTATCTGTACCTAAATATTTGTTATTTTTTGGATTATTTTCTTAAGGCATGTTTGTCTTAGGGAGAGGTGGGGCCTTATAGGACCCTCCTCTATCCATGGTGAAATGTTGGTGGGCCTGGCTTCTCTTAGTCTTGTGCAGGTAGCCATTGCTACTATGAGTTTATGGGTATTATAGCCATGGCAAATCCTTGCCATGTCCATGAATAAGAATACTGGCATCTGTCAAAACTCCTCAAATAGGGGTTAGGGATTTAGCTCAGTGGTAGAGCACTTCCCTAGCAAGCGCAAGGCCCTGGGTTCCGTCCTCAGCTCTGAAAAAAAAAAAAAAACCAAAAAAACTCCTCAAACAGTAGGCTAAACACTTAAACATTTTCTCTATATAAAATGAAATAAATGTTAGTTTGACTTAATTGTGTGCATTTTCAATTGTTTTGTGTAAAAGCTGCCGGTGTTAGTAACTTTGAAATAGGTCAGAAATAAATTTGGGTTATTTTTAGGTAGAGAGTTAATAGTATGAATATTTATTACTTTTTCCAGG